TGCCTTAAATGTGGTAAAAACTGCACTGTGTAAGCAGCAATAGCAACATGCCCCCAAGTGCAGGGCCGCAGAGCCTGCAGAAAATGTATTCTGACAACACAAGGTTGGTTTCTAATCCCTAGGTACAAAACCTGGAGGAGACATCTGTGTCTCAACAGTGACCTCTAGTGGACAAGTCTTAAAAGGGTTGTCTCCAAAAGAAACTCCTTTTGAAAAACAAAAACAAGTAGGAAAGCATTTACAAAACTCACACTTCCAAACACCACAAAACCCAGGACTGGATTACGGATCAGATAAAAGAGACTCAGCTGACAGTGGCTTCAAAGGAGGGTAACCACAGAGGCAGGGGCAGGAAGGAAAAGCAAAGAAACACAGGAAGATCACCTTTGGCATCATTGCTGCCTTCCCTGCTTAGAGAAAACCCCAGAGCTAGCAAGCTCTTGGGTGCAGCAGCATCACAGACCGCTGGGGCTCAGCACCACCCACCACCTAAGCAATCCACAAATCCATCGTATTAACTGAGTGATTATTTCATGGCCAACATGCTGTAGCACTTTTGTGGAGGTGGGATACAGAGTAAGTGTCAGACAGCGTCCCTAACCTCCAGACACCTACAATTCATCGTGTGAGGAAATCAGTACATAATCGGGACTCTTAAATATAGAAAATTAACCTTAAGTGAAAGAGGAACAGACCTAGACGCCAGTGAGACCTGGAGTTGAAAGAGGCTTTCTGGAAGAAGTGAGAGCTCAGCAGAGCTCATCAGGGTTTCTGGGAAGAAGAACACACCTGAGTGGTCATGATACCAGTGTCCCAGGCTGCGAGTCCTTTGCTGTACCTGAGTAACACATCGCAGCGTATCACTCCTTGCCTCTATGATCGTAAAGATGAGGGCATCAATTTATTAGACATAAGGTCATGTATCTCTATTTTTTTTTTTTTTTTTTTGAGATGGGTCTTGCTCTGTCACCCAGGCTGGAGCGCAGTAGTATCATCCTAGCTCACTGCAGCCTCAAACTCCTGGGCTGAAACGATCCTCCCACCACAGCCTCCAGGGTAGCTGGGACTACATGGGTGCACCACCATGCCTGGCTAATTCTTTTTTTTTTTTAAAGAGACGGGGTTTTACTATGTTGCTCATGCTAAAGGTCGTGGATCTTTAGAGCATCACGCTCTATCTACCATACTTGAAATGAGCACACAATGAGTAAGAAACTGAAGTCAGGGGTGACCACGTCTACTCAAGTCCCTATACCAGTTAATCCCAAAGAAACCTTCTGGTCCCAAAGTTCCCCACTTTATCTCTAGCCAGCAGTCTCCTCTCTGGTCTTCCCTGTCATCTACATACCTCCTGGAAGCAACGAACACACGGTTTTTACAGGTAATTACTGGGAAGCCACTAAGTGCCCAGCAACAGGCATTAAGGAAGAATATGAAATGGTCCCTGCTTTCACAAAAACTTACCATCTATTTGGAGAAAGAGAAAACACACAAAGCAAGAGAAGGACAGGGAGTGTCGCACTGGAGTTAAAGAGTCTACACGCAAGAGAGTTTGGGGAAGAAAGGCTTCAGACGGGCCAGAGCATCAGGGGACCTCCAGGAGAGGATGGGGAGCGGCTGGTAGAGAAAAGGAGGGAGGAGGAGAGGCAGGCAGGGGTAGACCTTGGGCCCAGAGGCAGGGCTACATGGGAACAGAAGACAATCTGTCTTCCTAGAGCAGCATATGACAAGCAGAGGCTGGCATGGGACGTGGGGCAGATTAGGGCAGTTACTGAAAGTCAGACAGAGAGAGCGCGTGCACCTGAGAGCGAGCGAGCGAGCGATCAAGAGAGAGACTGCGAGCACGAGCGCGCGCCAGCCTTCTGCCAGGTGCGTACTCCATTCACAGGCAGGTGCTCAAAGAAAGCTGTGTTTCCAAAGGGATGTTTAATCTGAAACTCTTCCCATTAGGCTAGAACGCTTTTGAATTCTAACTTTGCCAATAACTTTGTTGCATTCTAAGTCAGTACTTGTCCATTCATAGCGAAAAAGCAGAAGAAAGATTCACTTGCTACTATCCTTCCTGTCTCCGTAAATACATCAAGCGTATATACATATCTAGGACAGTTGTTACAGACAGATTAACCTCCCCCTCCGACTTCAAAAACCCATCAACGCTGCCCCAAGCCCCCAGGTTTAAATTTAAACAGTTTCATCATAATAGTCTTGAAGAAGCACTAGCAGCAATTAGCTTGACAATACACAAACATTTTAATGAACTGCAGTGTTAAAAAGTTCAGGAATTTCTGCTCGGAAATTCTTGGGGAATTTCAGGATCACAGATCCCACCTGCAGCTTCCTCCTGGCCTCACTTTTACTGCCCTGGGTGGACCTGTCAAGGCCAAAACCACTGGCAAGAAAAGGGAAGTCAACCCCGTGCCTCACTGTTCCAATAACCCCGCAGATGTGAAGTCACTGGAGTCAACAGTGTCCCCAAATCAATGTCCCAGTTTGAGTAAACGATTCATTCCTTCCATCAGTAGATATGTGGAAATGTCAGAGAAGGGTGTAATTGGCATACTAAGAGAAAAACACACATATTTTTGCAAGATAAAAGCAGTGGCAAGAGGTGGGGGAGTTATCTTTTGAGTCCCTGTGGTTTTAATGTGGCCCTGTCAGCCAGTCCCTATTAAAAACAACAGAAAGTGAAAGACACTGATTACAATAAAAAGTGACAGCAGGGTGTGCTTAGCCACTTACATTTAATGCATATTTATATTTCCATCAAATGGACATATTTACTATAAACACTTGAAAAACCACAGCAAAGTCATTCATTTAAATGCCAGAAAAATAGTAAAGGATGCTAATTTGACCTTAGTGAAACAGATCGAGTGTCACTGACACTACTCAGCATGGCTTGAAACAGAATTTACCAAGACCATTAATTAGAGTTTACTGGATTAGGTCAAGAGTGTCTCAAACAGAGTGAAGGGGGAAATAAAACTGGCAAAGCAGAAATATAAAGTTTGGATTCTTTCACAGTCAATCTCCTGAATGGCCAACAGGATGTAACTCCCTATATAAATATGCCCCTCTAAATTAATCTAATATTACATGCCTGGAGGAAGAAACTGATCCACTGACACTTGAGGTTCCTATCTTTGTGAAGATGTAAAAAGAAATAAACTACCACGACCTGAAAGACGTTTTTAAAGAACAGATCAATGAATGATATAATAGAAACAAAGGTTCTGCTTGCTTTCTGCTTGCTTTCTGTTGGAGATAGGGTCTCCCTCTGTCACCCAGGCTGCAGTGCAGTGTCATGATCATGGCTTACTACAGCCTTGACCTACTGGACTCAGACTCCCAAGTAGCTGGGACCACGGGGACACGCACTATGTCCGGCTAATTTTTTTTTATTTTTGGTAGAGATGAGGGCCTCAGTATGTTGCCTTGGCTGGTCTCAAGCTCCTAGGCTCAAGCAATCCTGCCTCAGTCTTCCTAAGTGCTGGGATTACAGGCATGAGCCTGATCCTGGCCAGTTTTGCTTTCTTGGGTAAACTGGTTTGCAATAATAATAATAATAATAATACAGATCTAAGAATGGTAAGCTTAGCAATTAAGAAACACTTTAATAAACTACGCAACAGAGCATGTCAGTTATTACTGCTCACAAAATCTTGGGTGATTTAGGGATCACATGACCCACTCTTCAAAACAAATCATGAATCCCTTCCGAACTGAGATTTGGGTGGCTGTAGACCACATGACCATTTCCCAGAAAAACAATGGAACTGCCAACAAATTACCTGTTACAATGATCACACATGACTTGCAGGTGTCACTTTCGGCTTCTGTGGCTACCACTACCAAGCGTGACAACTGCCGTCACTCTGCCTTTGCCTTACAAATACGCGCTTTGGCTAAAAACTAACCCGCTTACTTCTTGCACGTGAGGGGACCTTGCTGCCACTCTTAATTTTCAGTAATCAACAGCTCTGTGACATTGCTTCAAGCTGTATATAATGCACACATACACACACATTCATGACACAAATCCCTCAACATGACATCCTGCTCGATTTCATTGGCCTCAGAGAGCTCCCTAACAAATTCTTGCCGCATGATTAGAAAATCATTCAAGTCTGCAGGAAAAATGGCAAGCCCCAAGAAGTGACAGTCAATTAGGAATGGGAAGGAGTGTGGGTCCGTCATTAAAATCCTTAAAGCCGCAGCTCTACGAAGAAAATGGCCCATCGTGCACAAAAGACATTCCTATAAAAACAGGCATTCATCCTACTGTGTGCTAAGCAGACACCTGGGCTGTGTGGAACTCTATGGATGCCCAGCAGAATTTTTCTTTTGGGGAAGCCAGACTCAAAAATCTGAAAAATACAGATGTAAAGGTTAACCATGTATACAACTTTGCATCTTCTCCGCCATCAAGCAAGGATGGAAGGTGCATTCAACAGCTAAACCTTTTCCTTTTGAGGAGGAAATATAGATGAAAACCAACGACTCATTCTAATAATTTAAGTCTTCAATCGTTTCAAGTTTTTCTCATGAAATGCTCACCAACGGTGTAGCAGCTCAGGTCACCAAAGCATTTCTATCTCTGAATGGAACCACTTCGAGAGAAACAATGTCATTTTTTTCTCTTTGGTTTATATAATAAAGAATCTTCTGGCCAGGCGCCATAGCTCATACCTGTAATCCCAGCACTTTGGGAGGCCAAGGCAGGAGGATCGCTTGAGCCCAGGAGTTCAAGACCAACCTGGGTGACACAGCAAGACCCTGTCTCAAAAAACAGAAAAGAAGGAATCTACAAAGTAGACCTGACTACAAAAGGCCAAAATACAGGAAGACAATATGCTCGTCTTCGTGTCACCAAAATAAACTAAGGTTTCTGCAGATAATCGTTTGTCATTGGTTTCTTCAGAGAAAACAGTAACAGAATCAGCAGTGCCACAGAATTACCTAAATGTCAGAAACCGTAACAAATAAGAAAGATCACTTACTTGTTAGCTTGTTATGGCTGAGGACCAGTTGTGTGATATGGGGTAAGGAAACTAAAAAGGAAAAAAAAAGCCAGTCAGTAAATGTATCCGGATTCTAAATGCACTCCTAACAAAGCAAACTGCAAAGTTATTTTCACAGGTTGAAGTACCATCGCTCACCAAAATAGAAGCTAGGATTCGTGTAACACGATCTGTTCAATGTTAAACCAAACGAAGAAAAGGCACGCAATTAGTGGTGCAATTAGCACAGCAAGTTAGAGCTAATGAGATTAATGTCACAGACTCCAACATGACAAGGGCCAGTTAGCTCTGTGTGGCGACCCGGCCTGCTTGCCCAGCCATTAGTGATCCATCTCAATTACGTGCCGGTCAGAAAGACCAGCCAAGAGCATAGAACTACACAGAGACCTTACTCGTGCTAAAAATATTTTAATTATTATTTTTTAAGCCACTTCATCCAAACAAACTTCATGTAGCAGAAGGCCGGCGGTGTAATTATTTCATCTGTGTGCAGTGCCCATCCAGAAATTCTTCTCCATGCTATCAGATGATCAGAGTTAAAAACCCTTCACAATTTCTTCTAAACATATTTTGGTTGACATTTCGAAGCACTGATTTGAAATGCAGATTGCTCTCTAGCTTCAAACATTATCATGGCGGTTTAATTTGCTCTGCAAGATTAGGTTTGCCCAAAGAATAGTTTTTCTAACTGTAAATAAAGAAAATAGATACAGAGCCACAAAAGTAAAAGAGAGAAATGATCCGCCTTCTACTTTGGGGTCTAAAACTTTACTGGATGTGTCAGCGTTTACACACATATGCATACACATGGGCGTGTGTATAATTTTTTCCAATTTTTTATTTTTTTTTTTTTTTTTTGAGACAGGATCTCTGTCGCCCAGACTGGAGTGCAGTGGTACAATCTCAGCGCACTGCAATCTCTGCCTCCCAAGTTCAAATGATTCTCCTGCCTCAGCCTCCTGTGTAGCCGGGACCACAGGCACATGCTACCACAACCAGCTAATTTTTTTTTATTTTTTATAGAGATGGGGTCTCAGTATTTTGCTCGGGCTGGTCTCAAACTCCTAGGCTCAAGCAATCCTCCCACTTCAGCCTCCCGAAGTGCTGGGATTACAGGCATCAGCCACAGTACCCAGCCTCCAATATTCTTTCTATAAGAACATTCTATTAATACAGAAGTTTTTCCTTAAAAGGATAATAAGACAAAAAATTTTCAGGAAGAGTCTCAATACTGGGGCCAAGCATGCTTTGAAGAAAATGAATATGCAACACTGCTGGCCACAACATTTGCATTTTTTTTTTTTTTTTTTAGATGCAGGTCTCGCTGTGTCACCAGGCTGGAACAGAGTGGTGCAATCCGGGCTCACTGGAACGTCCTCCTCCCAGATCGAAGCGATTCTCCTGCCTCAGTCTCTTGGGACTACAGGCACACGCCACCACGCCCAGCTAATTTTTGTATTTTTAGTAGAGTCAGGGTTTCACCTTGTTGGCCAGAACGGTCTCACTCTCTTGACCTCCGGATTATAGGCATGAGCCACCACGCCCGGCTGCGTGTTTCTTCTTTTTGTTTTTTTTTTTTTTTTTTTAAACCATTGCAAATGTACAGAGAAGTCCAAAACACAATACAAAACCTGTTTTCCCAGCCTGAAGCACTGATATTAAGCTGTTGGCCTGAAGCCCCATAAACTCTAGGGTATACCACCTACAAGCAAAAACATACATAACCACAATACAACCATCAAAATAAAAAAGTTAATCTAGTACATGAGGACTATCTAACCCTAATCCCCACCCAAGTTTCTTTAAATGTCCCAGTCATTTCCCTGATGGAAGAAATAGGATCTGGTTCAGAATCCACACTGCGGGTAGCTATCAAGTCTTTGTCATCTCCTCTAGACTGAGGATTTCTCTTTCCTTGACCTTCATGACCTTGGCAATTGTGAAGATTGTACAAGTGTTTTCCATTACGTCCATCTATGCAGATTTCTTTTTTTGACATGACCTTGCTCTGTTGCCCAGGCTGGGATGCAGTGGTGCAATCACAGCTCACTGCAGCCTCGGCTTTGCAGGCTCAAGCAATCCTCCCAGCTCAGCCTCCCAAGTAGCTGAGACTCCAGGCTCACAGCACTATACTTGCTTGATTTAAAAATAATTTTTTTTTAGAAGTGGGATCTCACTCTGTTGCCCAGGCCAGAGATTTGTCATTTATTGATTCTTGATTCATGCATCTATATTAGTCCATTCTGGAATTGCTATAAAGAAATACCTGAAACTGGGTAATTTATAAGAAAAAAAGTTTATATGCCTCATGGTTCTGCAGACTGTACAGGAAGCATAGAAGCATCTGATTCTGGGGAGGCCTCAGGAACTTTTACTCATGGCAGAAGGCAAAGGTGGAGCAGCCGTCTTCACATGGGGTATTAGTATGTTCTAACACTGCTAATGAAGACACACGTGAGACCAGGTAATTTATAAAGGAAAGAGGTTTAATGGACTCACAGTTCCATATGGCTGGGGAGGCCTCACGATCATGGCAGAAGGCAAAGGAGACGCAAAGGCCCATCTTACATGGCAGCAGGGAAGAGACTGTATGCAGGGGAACTCCCCTTTATAAAACCACTACATCTCATGAGGCTTATTCACTATCACAAGGACAGCATGGGAAAGACCCACCCCTATGATTTAATTACCTCCTACCAGGTCTCACCCACAACATGCAGGAATTATGGGAGCTACAATTCAAGATGAGATTTGGATGGGGACACACCCAAACCATATCACATGGCAAGGGCAGGGGGAGCAGGAAGGTCGGGGGGAGGAGGTGGCTGGGGGGAGGTACCACACACACTTAAACAACTAGATCTCATGAAAACTAAAGAGTACAAAGGTGGTTGATGGTTAATACCGAGTGTCAACTTGATGGGACTGAAGGATGAAAAGTATTGATCCTGGGTGTGTCTGTGAGGGTGTTGCCAAAGGAGATTAACATTAGAGTCAGTGAGCTGGGAGAGGCAGACCCACCCTTAATCTGAGGGAGGGCACCATCTACTCAGCTGCCAGCAGCATGGCCAGGATATAAAACAGGCAGAAAAACCTGAAAAGCCTAGACTGGCCTAGACTCCCAGCCTACATCTTTCTCCTGTGCTGGACGCGGGCTGCCCTTGAACATCGGACTCCAAGTTCTTCAGCTTTGGGACTTGGACTAGCTTCCTTGCCCCTCAGCTTGCAGATGGCCTACTGTGGGACCTTGTTGATCATGTGAGTTACTACTACTTAATAAACTCCACATACACACACGCACACACACGTATCTCCTATTAGTTCTGTCCCTCTAGAGAACCCTAATACAGGGGAGATGGTGCTAACCCATTCATGAGAACTCTGCCCCCATGATCCAATCACCTCCTACCAGGCTCCACCTCCAACACGGGATTACAGTTCCATGTGAGATCTGGTGAGGACACAGATCCAAACCGTATCAGCATCTTTGGCAGGGATATGGCAGAGACACTGTGTTCTTGTCATGGCACTCTACCTATAACACATGACTTCCATTTATTTATCCCATTGATAAGAATCTTCACTTTGATGGCTCAAGTCTGCCTGGCTTCTTCACTGCCAATGTATTGTTTTTCCTGCTTTTAATTGGTAAATTTGGGGAAATGTGGAAATTCCTCAGGGTGGTAGAAAAAATATTACGGGAAAATAGTAAAGAAAGTTATAGAATATAGTCTCAAACCCTTCTGGAAGGCCTAAGAATGTTTTCACAGTTTCAGTACAAGTTTCAGCTGAAAGCAGCCTAAATCCCCCTTGGATTTAGTTAGTAAGTAAAGCAAATAGCCAGGGTATGTGGGTGACTTTACCTAACTAACCTATTTACTCATGTGGTCTTAAAATTAAACTTTGAGCCAGATGGCCCTTTTGGGGAGAGGTTGACCAGGGATATTATCCACTAACGGTGTTTGTTTTGGGCATCAGAACCTGGCCTTTAATCTTTCTCTACAAGCATGCTGACTTAAAGCCTCTGTTATTAAATCTATACTGAATAAATGGGGAGAGGGCAAACTAGTAAGTATCATGTAACTGCGATCTCTCTCTGTGAGTGGCTCATGACCCCTCAGCCCACTCATTCTCTGTATTGTGTGTAAGTGCATTTATTCATCCACCGTCCACAGACCCCAGCAGGAAAAGCAAAAAGGGTACTTTGATGTCAATATCCTGTTCCCCACCAAACTCTAAACTTATTGTGTCTTTTGGTCCCCAACCAAGGCAACCTTGTCCCCCATGGGATATCTGGCAATGTCTGCAGACATTTTGGTTTGTAACTGTGGTCACTAGAAGATCTAAAATTTTGTTGGTGACTGGCCTTCTCTGTCTGCTGGATGGCCCTAGTCTAAAGCACTGGTGTAGTGGATGGAAGCCACGGATGCTGACACACATCCCACATCATGCAAGGCAGCCCAACCCATGACAAAGAATCGTCCAGTCCAAAAGGTCAACAGCATTGGTGCTGGGAGATCATGGTTTACTTAGTTATACTGGTACGGCCTTGCGGCTTCCTATTTTAGCTGATGGGTTACACTCTATCGTTATTACTTAGAGTGATGCTCTAATTGTCCCTGCTTTGGCCAGTGTGAGTCCATCCAAGCGGACTTCTTAGTCCTTTCTACACGCCCCCTCATCCTTGCAGCACTTCCTTGCTTTCTGGCACAAGATATTCAGATTCATCCTGTATTTTTTCTATCACAGCCCTGGAATCAGTTATTTCTCCCATGATCTCCGGTTCCTTTTGTGGGAAATAATATTTCTAAGCCAAAATCCAGGCACTAGACGTGCTCACTGCCATGGGGGCAGGGGAGGTTAGGTACTCTCGGCCCCTCTGAGTGGTCAGAGCTAGAGAATATACACACTCCAAACCCTATATTGATTTCACTGTCTATTTCTATTTTTAAACACCCTATGTTCACCCCAATCTACCGAATTCCAACACATCTCAAGGCTCATCCTGGTTGTCTCCCTTCTCATATTTCTAATTCTCTCAAATCCTTTTGGAAGGCCTAAGGTTTTTTCATACATCGTTTCAGCAGAAGTTTTGGCTGAAGGCAGCCTAAATCCCCCTTACAATTAGCTAATAAGTAAAGCGATTAGCTAGGATATGTGGGATAGTTTACCTAACTAATTTGTTTACTCATGTGGTCTTAAAACTAAAAAGCGGGCCGGGCCCGGTGGCTCAAGCCTGTAATCCCAGCACTTTGGGAGGCCGAGGCGGGTGGATCACGAGGTCAAGAGATCGAGACCATCCTGGTCAACATGGTGAAACCCCGTCTCTACTAAAAATACAAAAAATTAGCTGGGCATGGTGGTGCGTGCCTGTAATCCCAGCTACTCAGGAGGCTGAGGCAGGAGAATTGCCTGAACCCAGGAGGCGGAGGTTGCGGTGAGCCGAGATCGCGCCATTGCACTCCAGCCTGGGTAAAAAGAGCGAAACTCCGTCTCAAAAAAAAACAAAAAAAAAAAACCCAAAAAGCGAGAACTCTACTTCCATTGTCTTTAGGCTGTTTACTTATTTAACGAACACCACTCTATATAGCTGTGTAAACAGTTATCTTACAGTGAAACCAAGACAGCTCTGTGATCATCTGCACGGACACTTGGAAGCTTGCTGCTGACTCTTGGTCAAGATAGTGAAGAGTGAGCCAGCTTAAAGTTAAAAACACCCCTGGTGGTCCCCAGGGCCAGCTTGCTTACACCATTGTGGGAGGTGTGGATTGAAGGCTTACACCTGGTCACAGAGCCTGGGCTGGCTTTGTGACCGGCCCAGCACAGAAGACAGCACTCGATGTTTTGGCCCAGGCTCTCCTGACACCAACATTCCTTGCACACTTCTTGATGGTTCACAGTCTCGAGACAAAATGTCCTCTGTGCAGCCAACGAGGGGCCCTGGTGAGCCATGCCAGTGAGTCTCTCAGGTCACCAACACTAGCCTGTGCTTTCTTCCTCCAGCTGAAGCATCTCCTGTGCTTTTACAAAGCCCTCATGTAAGCAGATGCTGTGGAATCTGGCAAGCCCTTTCAATTATCCAACACATGCTCCACTGCAGCAACCCATCTCCCCATCACCCCTTCCTCCTCACTCTGTCCTGATGCTAATCTCCAGGCCAGGACACCTCCACCAGGATGCCCTCCTTGCTCTGCCCCGGCCCAACCTGCCCAACCTGCACGGCTGCTCTCCTCACCCACTAAGGTGTCAATGCTCCCTGCAGGCCACCCCCTGAACGTCTATTTTCCTGTCCCACTGATATGGTTTGGCTGTTTCTCCGCCCAAATCTCGCCTTGACTTGTAATAATGCCCAGGACGGGGCTAGGTGGAGACAACTGAATCATGGGGGCGGTTCCCCCATAGTGTTTGCATGACAGTAAGTCAGTCTCACAAGATCTGATGGCTTTATAAATGGGAGCTCCACTGCACACGCTCTCTTACCTGCCGCCATGTAAGATGTCCCTTTGCTCTTTGTCTCCTGCCATCATTGAGGCCTCCCCAGCCATGTGGAACTGTGAGTCCATTAAGCCTCTTTCCTTTATAAATTACCCACTCTCAGCTATGTCTTTATAAGCAGCATGAAAACAAACCCTCTTAAAGGCTTGAGGACCGAATTGTTACGGAATGGGACAGAAAGAGGCCACAGGGAAGAAGAAAAGCATTTCTGTGGCTTTTAAAAAGAATCCTGATGGTGGTTTACCATGCGGTACTTAAGATGTTATAGGCTGCAGAAATCTCACACATTTTTATCTGCAAGAGTTCAGATTTTTCTGTCCACCAGACAAAGCATTGCTCTGAGATGTATAGTGAGGCATGAAAAAAAATTCTCCCTAGAAATCCCTGATCCCAAACAAGATTAAATAGATTCATAGATGTATCAGTTAAGATTACACTCAGCTTCATGTAAGAGCAAACCACACACAAGAGGAGTTACACAAAACGGGAGTTTCTCTCTCACTTACACAGAGGCAGTCCAGAGGCCCCCAGTACCCTGTTACCAAGCTATCCCGTTAATGGTTCCCACCTTGCTAGGGGCTATACATTTGGGAATTTTTCCCAAAAAAATTCATATATGGAACCCCAATTCCCAGTGTATGGTATCCGGAGGTGGGGCTTTGGGGAAGTGATTAGCTCATGAGGGTGGAACCCTCGTCAATGAAGTTAGTGTCTTTATAAGAGGAGACATGTAAAACATGATCTCTTTCTCCACTGTATGAGGATGTAACAAGAAGGTAGTCTTCCACAAACCAGTAAGACAGCCCTCGCTGGACACTGAATCTGTCAGTACGTTGGTCTTGGATTTTCAGAATCACAAGGAGAAAATTTCTATTAAGTTACCTAGTCTAAAGAATTTTTGTTATAGCAGCCTGAACTGACTAAAACACACCTCACAGTCCAAGATGACAGCCTGAGCTCAGCCATCACATCTACATTCCTCTCAGGAAAAAGGAAAGGGTAAAGAAGGCTTCCTCCTTTAGGACACTTCCAAGAAGTTGGACGTGGCATTTCCACTTATAAGCAAGTAATCAAAATTTAGTAACACAGTGATGCCTAGCTACAGGTATTGATCGACTTACCACCTATGCTACTTACGACCATTCGAGTTTACGACCACAATCGATAGCCACGACTGCTCTGCGTCTGGCAGCGCAAACGTTGCCCAGCTGGGCGTACAACAGTGCGGACCAGCTTCCGGCAGCACTACCATCTCTGCATGCACCATTTCAACTGTACATATAGCCTACTCAACTTACGACCAAATCGTGTTACGACCGGTCCGCGGTCCCAACTGTGGTCGTAAGTCGAGCACTAGCTGTACAAGGCTGGCTTCTGGCTGCCCATGTGCCGGCTAAAAATTAGGGGTTTTATTACCAAGAAAGATGGGAGAGCTCAGACTGGCAGAAAATTAGCAGTCTCTCACACCCATAGACCGTCCATCTGAAAGTCACTGAAATTAAAAGAAAACTGATGGTGCTCACATCTTCCCTGCCTTAATTTCTCCTAAAATAGCATGAGCAACTAATTAGAAATGAAAAAAATGTTGCTCTTCTCAAAAAAGTGCAAAGTTCACAAGCTCAGGTTCATATTGACAGATTTAATGAGGGAAAACGGGTTATTTTCAATCGTTTCATTGTGTCCCTTCAACAAACACTTAGCAGGGAAGAAACCAAAACAGTTCAAAAGTTGTGTTTTCTTTTAATAGAGAAGAGAAATTCAGTGGTTGCCTCACCCGATCACACCACCAGAATTTATTTTTCTTTCTCACTCTTGCCACAGGGCCACATGCTAAAGTAGGTAAGAGGGAGAAGGACGAGAGCAGAAAAGAAAAAGTGAATAAAAGATCTTTGAGAAAAATATTTAGGGCAACAAAGGACTGCAGTTCGGGTCTGCAGGGAGGGCAGTTAAGTTCAAAGAATCAACAGACCCCCACAAAGCCCAGACACGCGAAGACCAAGGGGCGACAGACGTGTTTATACAACCGGTCACTCCTTTCCACTCGGGAATGGTGAGTTCATTGTGAGTCTTGTATGCAAACTGCGCTGTTAGAAAAGAAGGGAGAAAAGGTCTACCAAAATAGAACAGGTTATTTAAAAGCACAAAAGCCGCCCCCGTCGAACATGTTGGGGAAAAATGGGAGCAGGCGGTACCACTGACCAGCTACCGGTGCCTTGCTGACTGTAATCACACCCTGGCAGATTTTCTACTGTGTTAATAACATCCTCTAATGGTCCTGCTAACCAGAAACTGTTCGGAATGAGCTCCCCCAGAACAGCGAGAGCAAACTGTTACTAAAATTCCTAAAGCAATATTCAACGATGCTTTGCCCAGGCATTTTCAGAGTAGAATACGTTTCAAAATTCAACTCAATCACTAAGAAAACGTGTTGATGTGTACAGTTAAATGCCACAGGGCCTTGGCTATCGTTCTATCTCTAGCCTTTTTAGGAGTGTCATTTAGGTGAATGTTGGATCAGGCCAAAATGAGCAGTGGGAAGCAAAATCATTGGGAGGGCAGCGTTTGTGGGGTCTGGGGGCGGGGTGACGTTGCTGGCACTGTACCTGTGATTTATGATCTTTTATTCTCGAGTCAGGAAGGGAATCAGCAGGAAAATGCCCAAAAGGAACTAGTTGGTTCAATAATTTCACAAGAAAGACAATCAAGGACTCACACAGGCACTTATTGACTGGATATTTACCGATCACACTCAGAGTGCCAGCCGTCTCTACCTTGGAGAGTCTTAGAAGCATCACTGACCAGGTATCCTGATTAGCCTGGAATGGTCTCGGATTACACCAGCTATCCCTCCAAAAATAATGTCCTGGTTTGGAGGATAAACTACACAGTCACCCAACTTAGGGAACAGCGAATATGGGCCAATAACCTAACATGCTAGGTATAAAAGGATCATGGACACAGAGGGGTAGATTTACAAGGACCATGGCGTTTCAGAAAGAGATGCTACTTATCGTAGGGTGAGAAACTGAGAAATGCTTTAGGGTAGAGGGTACACCATGCACCCAGGGGACCTATGCAACCCGGGGTGACAGAGGCAATCCCAGGCTTATCTGAGCACAGGCATGAAACACAGGGAAGGCATAACACGGGGTCTGGCTCTGTGTCCCCTCCTAAACTTCATGTTGAATTGTACTCCTCTGTGTTGAGGGAGGGACCTGGTGGGAAGGGACGCAATCGGGGGGTGGATTTCCCCCTTGCCGTTCTCATGATGGTGAGTCCTCACAAGACCTGGCTGTCTGAGAGTGTGTTAGCATCTCCCACTTTGCTCTTTCTCCTTCTCCCGGGACGAACATGTGCTTGCTTCCCCTTCACCTTCCACCACGATTGTAAGTTTTCTGAGGCCTCCCAGCCATGCTTCTGGTATACCCCGTGGGATTTTTTGAGTCAATCAAACCTTTTTTCTTCAAAAATTGTCAAGCCTTAAGTAGTTCTTTATAGCAGTGTGAGAACGTACTAATACAGGATAGAACGTGGAAGGAGTGGTCAGTATTTTAATGGAGTAAATTCAGAAAAATCAAATAACTGGTTGGAGTGCAGTGGCGTGATCTCGGCTCACTGTAACCTCCACCTCTCAGGTTCAGGCAGTTCTCCTGCCACAGCCTCCCAAATAGCTGGGATTACAGGTGTGCACTACCACGCCCAGCTAATTTTTGTATTTTTAGTAGAAATGGGGTTTTACCATGTTGGCCAGGCTGGTCTCAAACTCGTGACTTCAGGTGATCTGCCTGCCTTGGCCACCTAAAGTGCTGGGATTACAGGCATGAGCCACCTGTCTCAAAAAAATTAAAAAAAAAAAAAAAAATCAAAGAGCTGGCCAGGTGTGGCGGCTCATGCCTATAATCCCAGCATTTTGGGAGGCCAAGGTGGGCAGACTGCCTGAGCTCAGGAGTATGAGACCAGCCTGTTCAACATGGTGAAACCCCATCTCTACCGAAATACAATAAATACAATAAATCAGTCCAGTGTGGTGGTGCACACCTGCAGTTCCAGCCGCCTGGGAGGCTGAGGCGGGAGAATCACTGGAACCCAGAAGGCAGAGGTCGCAGTGAGCCGACATCACACCACTGCACTCCAGCCTGGGCGACACAGCAAGACTCCGTCTCAAAAAAAAAATAACAGAAAAATCAAAAAACTAAAACTCCTAGAAAAAGAATCACCCTGTCTAGATAATGTGGACAGAACCCTCTGCAGCTATGCACAGAGACAGCCATGTTAATTCAAATCATCCAAGGGGTCTAGACTACAAAGAATTAACTTAACATGTAGCATAGTGAAATGGCTTTTTCATTATGGCTCCCTGGTGGAATAGAAACAGCCACAGCCTTAAATAACCCTCATCAGAGGCTCCACAGGAATGTGGGAGCTAGCCAGATGTCAGCACCGAGCAGCAATGCTGACCGACTTGAGCTCTGTGTCTCCGTGATGCTGCTTAAAATGTCTGCCCGTGTCGCATGGCTGAAGTTATTTCACCCTTGGTAGCAGGACACAGATTCTGATGTACTTACATATGCAGGATCTGACAATATATTAAAATGAAGACAGACAATGTTCGACGTCAATAAATAAATATCATATTCATCAACACAACCAGAATCATAAAAACCTTTCTTTTGAATTTTGTTCATAAGTTAAAACTTTAAATTAAATTTCACTGTGGGATGAAAGCCTTTCCTTATTTCACAACTAATTATCGTGCAGGGTTACTGCAAGTCTTCAGAAGGTTTTCACAAGAATTGATCACTTTACTGAATTCTAGTATTTACAGACAGAGTCTACCGATCACAAGTAACACTTCTCTCAATCAACAATAAAACAATTTAACATATATGACAACTGAAAAAAGATGGCCTCTATTTCTACACCTAAGGGCAGAGAATTCACGTATCTTGAGAACCCCCCATGAGCTGCTCACTAATTGGTGTCTTTCAGTCCATGAGGACATTAAGAAGGAAGACAGACCCAAGACACTGGTATTTAAATTACGGAGCCCACATCATTCACGGCCAAACACATCCTTTTATAGTTTTTGCTCCAGGAAAAAAATGCAAAGAAAAACTGTATTTCTGAAGATGCCTGGGAGAATTAAAGAGAAAATATATTAGGCCACTTAAGATATGCCGTCACTGGATGGTATTAACAAAACCATCACAACAAAGTAGTTGTGAGTTACAACTACTTTGCGTGCCACTGTACTTCCTTAGTGGGACAGGGATAGAATATGAGTGAGACACAATTGCTGCCCTCAACGAGCTTACTCCGCAATAAGAAGATGAAATAAAACACTAGCATACAGTACAGAAGGTGATGGTGAATGTTATTTGTCCACTTGATTGGGCTATGATACCCAGATGGCTGGTATGATGTTCTTTTGCGGGGTCTGTGAGGGTGTTTCCAGAAGAGATTAGCATTTGAATCAGGGGACTGAGAAGAGAAGACCCTCCCTCACCAACGCAGGTGAGCAATACCCAATTCACTGAGTGCTTCAATAGAATAAAAAGAACACACTCAGAGACAGCAGGTATTTTTAAGTTATCTGACTGGGACTTTAAAATTACTATGATTGATATGACAACATGCATAAAAGACGGGTAATGTCAACAGAGACAAAAGCCCTAAGACAGAACTGAAAGGAAATGCTAGAGATCAGAAACACTGCAGCAGAAATAAAGAGGGCCTCTGACTGGTTCCTTAGTAGAATGGATATAGCCAAGGAAAGAATCAGTGATCTTGAAGACACGTCAACAGAAACTTCCTAAACCAAAAAGCAAAGAGAAAAAAGAATAGGGGAAAAGTGAAACAGAATACTCAAGGACAATGGGATAATTGCAAAAGGCATAACATTCACATAAAGGGAATACAAGAAGAGAAAAAGGAACAGAAAGTAATATCGAAATAACTCAGAATTTTCCAAAATTAAAGACAGAGACCAAACTACACATCCAAGAAGCTCAGAGAACACAAAAATGAGTAATTACCAAAAAATCTATACCTACACATATCACATTCAAACTACAGAAAGTCAAAGACAAAATATTGAACGAAGTCAGAGGGAAAAAAAAATCTTACCAATAAAGAAACCAGAATAAGACTTACACTGGACTTTTCT